TGGTCTCTGCCTGACAATCTTATATCTTCTTTGCAAATATAATAGGGATGACCAAAAAAAAAAAAAATCCATTTCCTTGAAGGGACAAAGCCCAGTGGCCTCTCTCCATCATGTCTAGATACAAAGTTAAGGGATTCCAAGCAGCGAACGATGTTATCAGCCAACGTTTATCACAAGAAATCAAGTCACTTCTGCTACATCCTTGGAAAGATTGTATCTTCCACCACATTGGCATCTCAGAGAGAAAGAGCCGCCCTCTTCCTTCCAAGACGTTCCTTCAAGAGCATCTACTGGTCCCATATTTCTTAGGCCACCTTCGTACCGCTGCGAGTCATACTCCTTTTTCATCTCTTGATTCCCTAGAATTTTCTAGGCCTGATCAATTTCGATGAACTTCTATATTCATTTCTCTACTGTCACTGCCAGCTTGGCTGCGGCTGTGTTTATCCGGATGATACATTGATATGAGTTTTTGATACATTTGTTTTAGGTGCGACCCATTTGCAGATGGGTCTGCCCCCAGGATGCGGTGCCTGCCAATCCTTGTTTGCCGTCTGCTCAGCTGCCATCATCCACTGAGCAAGAAGTGGGCTTCTCCGGACCAGCAGACTTTACATGGCCACCGGTGCCCACTCCTTGCCAGCGGTCGGCCAGAACGCGGAAGGCTCCTTTACTACTGTTTAGACATGGCAAGAACCTTAGATATTCTAATTCCTCCTGGTTGTGTGCTGTTATTGTCACTAAGTTTAAGCCTGCAGCTATTTAGAAGACATATTATTGCTGTTTCACACAATGTCCACTTCGACTTACCCAGATGCACATTCTTCTTACTGCGAATCATTCCTCCTGCTTCCATCTGGGGCCAATCATATCTCCTGCTTCCATCTGGGGCCAGTTTTTCTCTGCCACAGAAATCCTTTTAGTATTTTCTTTGGTGGATGTTTTCTGGCAATTAAAAAAAAGCAATTGCTTTTTCTGAAATGTTTTTATTTCACCTCCACTTTTACACAATATTTTCATTGGCTATAAAATTCTGTGTAGGTAGTTATTTTCTTTCAGCTTTTCAAGACGTCACTCCATTGTCACCTGGCTGCAGTGTTTCTGCTGCAAAGTCATATGTCAGTCCTGCTGCTGCTTCTGCACAGGTCTGGCTAATACTCCCTTTGTCCTGGTTTTCAGCAGGTTTACTATCATATAACCAACTGTATTGTTTTTGTTTTTGTATTGATTCTGATTGGGGTTGATAGTATACCTGTCGTCTGTGGTTTGTTAATTTTGATCAATTTTGAAAAATCCTCCTTTATTTTCTCTTTAAATATTGCTTCTCATATATTCTTTTCTCTCCTTCCAGGGACTCCATTCTACAAATACGTTAGACCTTCCCACCGTGCCACGTGTCTCTAGGCCTTTTATTATATCATCCATCCCTGTTCTCTCTCTGCTGCTGTCTAAATATTTCCTTCTGATCTATGTTCCAATTCGCTGATCATCTCTTCTACTGTGTCTAATCTGTTTTTAAACTCATCTATTGAATCCATAATTTCAGTTGTTGTGTTTTTCTGCTTTAAAATTTCCACTGGATTCTTTTTTTTAATAGATTCTACTTCTCTGCTGAAAAGTTCAATCTTGTAATCTATTTTCTTGAACATATTAATCACAGTTAAAGTCTATGTATGATAATGTCAAAATCCTATTCTCTCATAGGTTTATTATTACTGTATATATATATATATATATTTTTTTTTTTTCTTTTGTCACAGAAGGCAGACACATGTAAACTGTATATATTTTTTTCTCTTAATTTTGGATCACTTGTCTTCTGGGTTTTTTTTTTTTTTTTTGACCTGACATTTAATCCTGAATATTATGTATGAAAGATATTTTAGTTAATTTGAGGTCCAGGATGATGCTATTTTCCTCCAGAGGTTTCCTTTTGCTTCAGGCTGGCAATGGGAAGGAAGGCAGCTCAGCTTTGTCCAATTTGGGAGGAAGCTGCTGGAAACTCAGTTCCAGTCTTTGTGAGGGTTGCTCTACTTAGCACCTCAGCCCTAAACCAGTGCTATATCCCTCCATGCGCCCAGCTGAAGGCCCGGGGTGCTTGTCAGAGACCGCTCTCTGGCCACCACCAATTACTCCCCCCACCATGAGACTCAAAAGCTCTGCTGTGGCTGGGCATGGTGGATCACACCTGTCATCCTAGCACTCTGGGAGGCGGGGGATTGCTCAAGGTCAGGAGTTTGAAACCAGCCTGAGCAAGAGCGAGACCCTCTCTCTACTAAAAATAGAAACTAATTGGCCAACTAATATATATAGAAAAAATTAGCCAGGCATGGTGGTGCGTGCCTGTAGTTCCAGCTACTCGGGAGGCTGAGGCAGGAGGATCGCTTGAGCCCAGGAGTTGGAGGTTGCTGTGAGCTAGGCTGACGCCATGGCACTCTAGCCTGGGCAGCAGAGTGAGACTCTGTCTCAACAGCAAAAAAAAGCTCTGCTGTGTCTCAACTTCTTGTCCCTGCATGTGTTACGGACTCAACCGTGTCCTCACCTTCGTATTTGGAAGCCCCAACCTCCGTGTGACCACATGTGGATGTGGGGCCTGTAAGGAGGGGTGTTACTCCATTTTGCGCTGCTGCAAAAGAATACCCGGGACTGGCTCACTGATAAAGACAAGGGGTCTGTTTGGCTCGCGGTTCTGCCTGCCCTGCAAGAAGCATCCTGCGACATCTGAGTCTGGCCAGGGGCATAGGAGCTTCCAGTCCTGGCAGGAGGGGGAGGGGCAGCAGGTGTGTCCTGTGGCGGGAGAAGGAACAGGGAGGGAGGGGGAGGCCAGGCCCCTGTGAACAACCAGCTCTCTCCAACTAACAGAGCGAGCACGCTACGCACTCCCACACTCCTTATCTGGGGAGGGCACGATTCGTGAGGGACCTCCCCCCACCCCGTGACCCAGACACCTTCCACTGTCCACGTGGGACGGACGGTAATGCCACCTCTTGTAACTCACGGCGTCTTGGAGTCAGTGGCACGCCGTGGTTTCTGAACACTGCGGGGCCAACAGCCTAGGGGTTCCGATCCCCAACGTCCAGCTTGGGAGGGGCTGGTTCATGAGCTGGCCGTTCCGCCAGGGATTCTCTGGCTGAGGCCACCGTCCAGATCCCAGCAGGCAGGGCCCGGGGCCTGGCGGGGACAGGCAAGTGCTCTGACAGGATTTCTCCTGGGGAGACCTCACTCACCTTCCCCACTCCTCAGTGGCATCTCTACACTAGATTTCAGCAATCGCTTCTGTAGTTTGTTACTAAATGGTAGCTCTAGCCGAAATAGTGAATTTAAAAAAAAAATTTTTTTTTTTAAGAGACAGGGTCTTGGTATGTTGCCTAGGCTGGGCTCAAACGATCCTCCTGCCTCTGCCTCCCGAGTAGCTGGGACTATAGACACAAGCCACCACACTGGCTGAAAGTAAATTTTAAAGAGTAGAAGATAGTTTGTGAAATTAAGGTCCACGAAAACTTGTCTCTCTGGCTTTGCAACACTGCCCAGCCGGCTGGACCTTCCTCGGGCAGGATGGAAGCAGTTCAGACGCTTGGGTTCAAACCCAGCCCCTGCTGCCCGCTAGCTGTGCAGTCCAGCCGCCCCACCTTCTCCGGCCTCCGGAGTGCCAGCTTGGCGCCCTACTTGGCACTCGGGAGGGACCTGCCCATTCCGTGGGAGGGCATTTGCATCACAGACACGGAGCCAGGCCTTCTAGGGATCCACGCCTGGCAGTCCAGGAAAGGACTTCCTGCATGGCCCAAGTTCTCCCCATGTTTCCCCTTTCCTCGTCTACACCAGCGCTGGTTTGCGCCAGGTGGGCAGGGTCCAGCCCTGGGTTTGCACTTGTGAGGCCACAGCACACACTGGCCAAGCTCCCCCTGCCTGGGGTCAACTCCCAGTCGTGCTAGGAGGCGACCCTGTGTGAATAATTTAACCTCTAAGTGCCTCCGTTTCCTCATGTGCACGATGGTTTGTGTTGAGGATTGGGTGTGGAGGGCGCAGAAATGTCATTCCAGAAACAAGGTCAGCTAAGAGGTCCGGAGACCGGCCTGTGCCCGCCCCCCCCAAACTGGGGCTGGATAAGGGCAGAAAGGAAGCCTCTGGCACTGCGGGGGAGGCTGGGGAGCGGGTAGAGAGGAAAGATGGGGCATGCCCCGGTCTCCCCTTCTCGGGGGTGCCAGACTCAGGAGTCCACACGTCCTCAGAGGATGAAGCCCACTGCGGAGGGGCTCAGGCGCGGGGCTTTCCCTGAACGGACGAAGCCCAGTGGCGTGTCTCCATCACGTCTAGATACAAAGTTGAAGGACTCCAAGTAGGGAACAGTTTTAGTTATGAGGAAGTTATTAGTCAACACGTATCACAAGAAATCAAGTCCACTGCTGCTACATCCTTGGAAACATTTGGGCCACATCCACTCAGGTTGGGAAAGGCCAGTGGAGCCTACTCCAGGAGCGGCGGCCTGCCACGGACCCCGCAGCCCTGGACTGCCTGGGCCAGGCTGGCTGCCTTCTCCTGGCCGCGGGCCGGGTTGGGGAGAAGGACAGGAGAGGGTGGGGAGAGAGTTCTCAGGTCCTGGTCCCTGATCCCGCGAGCCCCCAACCCCCCAACTCCCGGTGCCCGGCGCGCCCCGATCTCCCTCGCTCCTGGTGCCCCGCGCCCCGACCCATCCTCCCCTGGCGCGCTGCGCGCCTCCATAGCCCTTGGTGCCTCGTGCGCCCCCTGACCCTCGCTCCCCAGCACCAAGTGCCCTGCGCGCACCCAACTCGCGTCCCCTCCGGTGCCCTGCGCGCCCCATCCTCCCTGTCCCGCTTGGTGCCCTGCGCTTCCCCAGGCTTGCCACCCACGGGAGCCCCCAGGTTCGCGCCCCCGGCCCCGCCAGGGTCGCGCAAGGACCCGCCCTGTGACGCATTTCCAACCGCCAGGAACCATGACCCGCCCCAGCGCGCGCCCGCCGCACGGGGCGCGCGCATCGTGCACGCGCACCACCACGTGACCCCGCGCCGGCCAACGGGCGCGCCAGGATTTGGGGGATAAAGCGCGGCCCCGCGAGCAGTTGCGGCGGGAGAGCGGCGTGCGGAGAGCGCGACTCGCCCGCCCCGGCGCTGCTCCTGCCCGCCGCGCCTTCCCGCCGCCGCGCAGCCATGTCCGAGGAGAAGCCCAAGGTAAGCGGCCAGCGCGCCCCGGCCTCCCGCCCGCCGGCGCCTCTGCACCGGGCGTCCCCTTCGCCGGGCGCGGCCCTCCCGACACCAGGGAACCGGGGCGCCGGCCGGGACTCGCGCCCTGGCCACCCGCGGCCGCCCGCGCCTCCCTGAACCTGCCCGCCCCTCCCCCGCCCGGGCCCGCTCCTCTCCCCGCCCGGCGGCGCTTCGCGGCGCGCCCCGCCCCTGCCTGGGCTCCGCCCACACGCGCGCCCCGCCCCCGCCGGGCCCCGCCCCCAAGGTGCCCTCGCTCCGCCCCCGCCGAGCACGGCCACGCCTTCCCCGCGGCTTGCGAAGGTCCCCAGTGTTGGGGAGGGATGCGCGGTCCCTGGTCGGGCGCCGACGCGTTCCACCCCGCGAGCGCGTAGCCTGCGGGGCCGTGCCCGGCGGGGCCCCTCAGTCCTCCTTCCGTCGGTGCGCGCGGTCCCGGTGGCGCGCGGCGGCAGCGCGGAAGGAGCGGCCGGGCCACCCCCGGGCAGCGCTTCGAGGGCCTGACCGGACAGCCGCCCATCCCCGCGTGCTCCGGTGTGCGCCCCCCAGTCGCGGACCCGAAGGTGCGTCCGCTCCGGGCCCCTGCGCTCGAGTGTGCGCCCCCCAGCCGTGGTCCCGAAGGTGCGCCCGCTCCAGCCCCCTGTGCTCCGGTGTGCGCCCCCCAGCCGTGGTCCCGAAGGTGCGCCCGCTTCTCCCTCCCGCGCGTCCGGGTGTGCACCCCCCCGTCGCGGTCCCGAAGGTGCGCCCGTCCCTCCCCCGCGCCCAGATGTGCGTCCCCCAGTCGCGGTCCCGAAGGTGTGCCTGTCCCTCCCTCGCGCGCCCGGGTGTGCGGCCCCCAGTTGCAGTCCCGAAAGTGTGCCCGCCCCTCCTCAGCGCGCCCTAGTGTGCGACACCCCCCCCCCTCGCGGTCTCGAAGGTGCGCCCGTCCCTCCCCCGCGCGCCCGGGTGTGCGCCCCTGAGTCGCGGTCCCGAAGGTGCGCTCTTGGGTCAAGCACTTCCCATTAGTCCTGGGGCAGGTCTGCAGCGTTGTCAGCCGCGCTAATTGGAGAGAACCTTTCTGCAGGCCTGGTCTGTACTGTTACCATGCTCTGTTTGGGGACCGAGGGGGGACAACGAGCTGGAGCCTTGCAGGTGGGCCCAGGGCGGCCCACAAGGTCAGAGCGGTGGACTGGGCAGAACCGCCCCAGAGGCCGGCCTGGTGGAGCCTGGGCCTGTCCTCAGCGGTTTGAGGAAAGGTGAGATCCAGGGAAACCTGCCCAGGTGCAAGTGGAGCAGCCTCTACTTCTTACATTTTGATTTTGACTCAGCCTTTTATACCATTTCTTCCACCCCAGGTCATTTGAACAAATAATTGTTAGTCTCAGGCCAAATATAAATGTCCCTTATGCTTTTGCGGGTGAGTTCCTGTAATGAAGTTTAAATACAGTAGAATATGTCCATTTTTTCGCAGATGTAAAACCCTGGCTGTGCCACATGGTCAACTTCAGTGGTCCGATCAGGCTGAATACATTGTTTCCTTAGGGAGTGGCCAGGTGGTTGCCGCCCGCAGGCCCGCCGTTAGGGAGGGTCCCATGTGCCTGCAGGGCGCAGCTCTGTGCCCCCGGCCAGGGAGGAGGGTGGGCAGCTGTTCAAGGTCGCGGAAGGAACAGCTCCAGGGTCAGGCAGGAGGGCAGTAGGCGGAGGCTAGACCTTAGTGAATTGAGGCTGTTTTTAGGGCTTCGTTTTTTAAAACCCATGAGTTCACTTGCTTATTAGGAGTTCACCAGGCGCCCGGGAAAAGCCGTTGTTCCTGGAGTCCCTCTGCGAACTACCATCGTCGAAATAGGACCGTCCCGAAGCCGCTAAATTATTAATTGAAAATGTTTATTAACAGAAAAAACAAAAAGCAAACGAATATACATCTCAAGTTCTCCCACTTGGGTGGAGTTTCTAGTCTGTTCATATTCCATAACATTTATTGGTGGATATTTATTAAAGCATGCTTTCACTGAGCACTGTTAAGCAAGTATAAGAAAAACAAGACAAAAGTTCTGGGAATAAATCTAATGCAAAATGCACACATTTTTAATAAAAGAAACTGTAAAATATTACCGAGAAGAAAATTAGTTATAGAAAGCCCGGGCGGCTTCCTCTCACGTTGGCCGATTCGGGCACGAGGAGGGGCCTTGGATGGCCGCCGTCCGCTCCGAGGCTCCGTGTTCCTCTCGGTCGTGCACGTCTGCCTTTTGTTCTATCCTGTCAGTCACCCGCAGCTTTTTATCAGTTTCCTGCGAGTAATTTTAAAACAGAGATGGATTTTCTGTGAACTTTTCCTAGATTTATCAAACAGGCTTTCTTTCTTTGAATTAACGACGGGGGAGGACTGTAGGTTTGCACTGCGTTCTCTTACGCACGGGTGGACGCTTGAGGAGGCAGAAGTGAAAAATGAATTCTGTGCAGAGATAAGACGATCACATGAGTGGCTCTGAATTGCTTAGAGAATTTTAGGAATTAGGTTGGTTTTGGTGACCCCAAAAAAACCCCCGACAATCACCGAAAGACGTGCCCTCGGAGATGGAGGGTGAGATGGAGGGTGTTTTCCGAGGTGCGGCCCTGAGGCCATTTCCGTCCTCTCTCCCGCAGGAGGGCGTGAAGACGGAGAACGACCACATCAACCTGAAGGTGGCCGGGCAGGACGGCTCCGTGGTGCAGTTCAAGATCAAGCGGCACACCCCGCTCAGCAAGCTGATGAAGGCCTACTGCGAGAGGCAGGTGCGCGCCGGGCGGGCGGGTGGGACTCGCGGCTTCCTGGGACAGAGACGGGCAGGGCTCGGGGTGCCCCGGCTGGGTCCCTCGAGTTGTGCCCCGGACATCTGTGAACGTGTTTCTGGTCCCCACGGTCCCGTGACTTGGCAGGTGCATCCCGAGGCTTGCCCGAGATGCTTTTGCGTGTGGCTTTTCCTCTGCGAGACAGCCTCCCGGGTGGTGGTGCGTCCTCCTGCGGAGTGGGGGACGTGGCGGGGATGTGGCGGAGGGAGGCGGGGGCATGCACAGCACTTGCGTCACGTCTGCCGGGCTGCCCGGGCTCTGGGGTTAATGCTCAGCGTTCGTTCCTTAGGGGCCGAAAAGTGGCGCATTCTCACGCAGACCTCTTATTCCTTTCCAAACTGCCCGATTCTCTCCCATGATCTGTCAGTCTCCAGACAGTGAGCCGGTTCACTGGCATCATAGCCGGCCGGGTCCCTGCACCCTGCCCACAGCCCCAGGTGTCGTGGGTGTGGCCGTGAAGCCCGTCCCACGAGTCTGTGCTCTGGGCCCGTCTGCCTTGCTCTGCGTGGTGCCCCGCCAGCCGCTCACGGGGGCTCTGCTCCCCGAGTGCTGCCCGGAACGTGGGGCGCTCGGCTCACCGTGCTGCGGCCACCCCAGCCTGCAGCGTCTGCCTCCTCCAGGGAGCCCCGTCCCTTTGAGAGGGGCCGGTGTCTCGGGGCGCGTCTCAGGAGGCTGCCTTTCTTTAAGAGCTTCGGGGACGCAGCGGCGGCTGCCCTTTTGTTTTACTCTCATGCCTCGGATTTTTGTCTTCAGCGATTCCAGAAAGCAGTTTCCTCCGTTCCGCTTCCCCTGCTCCGAGAGGCAGCCCCTGCCTGCTCCGACCTTTTCCTGCGCCGCGCCGTGAGCACGTGGCCCCGCCTCTCCTCCTCCTCGCTTTTGCCCGTGAACGGTGAGAGGGGGCTTCCGGACACTGTTGTCCCAAGCGGCCCCGCTCCTCCCCGCAGAGTGTGTGGTGCAGCGCCGCGCCCCCCCCCAGCGGGGACAGATGTGTCATGCAGCCCGCCAGCTCTCGTCTGAGTCTCGGTGCTGCTTGGGCCGGCGGCCTGCGGGTGCCTGTAGGATCCCCGCCACGTGGGCAGGCCTAGGGCTCTGCTTTCCCCACGCCCCTCCTGCCCCTCCTGCCCCGCGCACTCGGCGGCCGTGGAGGCAGCCGCACAGGCAGCCGCACAGCGGTGGTCCACCTGAGCCAGACTCACTGGGAAACGCCCCAGCCTCCTTCCTGCTGTCCCCTGGACTAACCTCCTGCCCGTCCTGTGACGACGGGACCGAGGGCGTCCGCCCGCCCTCGCCAGAAGGGCTGTGTGAAGCGCGGTGTCCCTGAGACCTTGCGTGTCTGCAAGTGACTTTTGCTTTTCGTGAGCCCTTCACGCTTCGACGTTTGCCCGCGTGTGACCTTCTAGATCGAAACTCATTTTCGTCTGTGGGAGTTACCGCATCCTTTCCTTTTGGCTGCCAACGTTGACGGTGCAGAGTTCCACAGTTCTGATTCTCCGTCCTTTGTACGTGTGACTTGGTTCTTCTCTGGGGGCGTTTACCAAAGTGTCGCCTGGAGCAGGTGCCTCTGCCACTCGCACTCGGCCCTGCAGCTGGAGACCTGTTTCTGCGCAGGAAACGGCGCCCTGGCGGTCCGTCCTGGGCTCTGCTCCTTCCTGGTGGGAGTCCTGCCCCTCTTGTCGCGGGCTGTCCCAGATGTTTGTTTTTTTTTTTTTTTTTTGAGACAGAGTCTCACTGTGTTGCCCAGGCTAGAGTGAGTGCCGTGGCGTCAGCCTAGCTCACAGCAACCTCAAACTCCTGGGCTCAAGTGATCCTCCTGCCTCAGCCTCCCAAGTAGCTGGGACGACAGGCATGAGCCACCACGCCCGGCTAGTTTTTTCTATATATATTAGTTGGCCAATTAATTTCTTTCTATTTATAGTAGAGACAGGGTCTCGCTCTTGCTCAGGCTGGTTTCGAACTCCTGACCTCGAGCAATCCGCGCCCCTCGGCCTCCCAGAGTGCTAGGATTTTAGGCGTGAGCCACCACTCCCGGCCTGTCCCAGGTGTTTTACATTTGATGACTTTCCTCCCAGTTTGCGGTGGGCTTTCCTCCCAATCTGCGGCCGATTTGGGTTCCTTCCTGGGCTGGGGGGTGGGGGAGGCCTCTTCACTTTGTCTTCCATGTGCTGTGGACACTCTTGTCGTTGCGACTTTGGATTTCCAAAAGTTTCCCTGTTCTTTGGAGTGTTCCTCTTTTCTCAGAAGCAACTCGGTGTTTTCTGGATGCGGGATTTCTTCTTACCTCCCCCAGAACTTGGGTCACGCGTGTGCGTGTGCCAGGGCGTGCACGTGTGTCGGGGCGTCTCCTGCCCCTTCCTCTTCTCCTCTCGCTCCCTCCCTTCCTCCCTGGTGGGATCCCCCTGCTCACACGTGAGTGTTGACACGCTGTGCAGCCGGGAGAAGCCGTGTACGTGGGTGGGCGTGTGGGCACGCTGTGTGTCCACGTGGGGTGACCCGCCTGGATTGGGGGTGCCAGGGAGGGGCCCAGAAGCTGCGGTCTGACAGTCGATTCCCCAGGCTCCGGCCAGCACCCTGGGGGCTCACCTGGAGGGGAGGGGCGTGGTGGCCGCTTCGGGGACACTGGCTTTCCCTGGCCGGTGATGCGTCCCTGGCGTCCTGAGCCCAGAGCTCGGCGTCCACCTCTCCAGAGAGCAGACGTCCCGTGTGCTGCCTGCGGGAGGGACGTCACCTGGCCTCGTGGGGTCACGGGGGACCCCGCCCTGGGAGTCCGCATGGGGACATGCGGGCAGCTGTTTGGAATCTCTGCCTTGCAGGCCTGGCCCGCCCAGCCCCTCTCCACCCCAAGCCCTCGGGGCTTGTGCCCGTCGGTCCTGCCGTGTCCTGGCTCTGCAGCTGCCACCCGCTGCCTGCGGGCCACCCTCACCCTCTCTCTTTGTCCTCCTTCCTTCCTTTCTGTCATCCCAGTGGGGTTTCGGGAGGGAGCAGAGGTGCACGTTTAAGCCTGTCTTGTTCCAGTGAAATGCGAACTGCTTGCTGGATGACATTCTGTCTCTGCCCTGGCCGAGGTGCAGTCGCTCCCTCGGGGCGCAGGGCGGCTGCACGTTCTCCGTGGTGGGGGTGGGGGGGGAGCGCCACCCTCCTCCAGGCCCCGTCGTGACTGTGTCCCAGCCGTGTGTGGTCTTCTCGTCACAACCCTCACCATCACCTGGCCTGTTTCTCTCTGGGAATCTTCTGAAGGGGCAGATGGTGGTGCCAGCAGTATGGAGACCCTGCTGGGCCTCTGGAAGGGGATGGGAGGGACGGGTCAGGCCCGGGGACGGAGGGTCAGAGCGAGGTGCCCGCACCACTGCTGTGGGCAGCGCAGGGAGGGGATGGACGCCAGCAGCGAGTTTCTAGATTCGACGGGTCGTGAATCCAGGATGCTGCTGTTTTGACACAAAGGTTTGACTATTGCCTTTAGCTGTGTCATCTGCAAGTATTTAATGGTAATTGTTTTTTTCTTTCCAGGGCTTGTCCATGAGGCAGATCAGGTTTAGGTTTGACGGGCAGCCGATTAACGAGACAGACACTCCAGCACAGGTATGGAAGCCGGCGTGGTGTGCGTCCAGGCTTGGGCCCCCCTGCTCTGCACACGAGTCGCTGGTTTGGGTGGGATGCTCTTACCTGAGAATCGCTGATTGTGCTCATATAGAACGCCTCACTTTTGGCCGGACGCGGTGGCTCACGCCTGTAATCCCAGCACTCTGGGAGGCCCAGGCAGGAGGATGGCTTGAGCTCAGGAGTTGGAGACCAGCCTGAGCAAGAGCGAGACGCCATCTCTGCTAAAAAAATAAAATTAAAATGAGCCATGGTAGTGCACACCTGTAGTCCCAGCTACTCGGGAGGCTGAGGCAGGAGGGTTGTTTGAGCCCAGGAGTTTGAGGTTGCTGTGAGCGAGGCTGACACCATGGCACTCTAGCCCAGACAACAGAGCGAGATTCCGTCTCAAAAAAAAAAAGAATGCCTCACTTTTTCTCAATGATTTTAACTAACTTTAAAATTAAAATTTCAAATGTGAAAACTGTGCTTTACCAGACAGCCCCTCGCTGTGCGCTGGTGGCGCCGGGTGCTGGGCCTGTGCTCGCAGCCGGGAGCCCCGTCCCGGGCACTGTCCAGACACAGGCAGTTGGCGTATGGCTGTTGATTGGGGACTGGCCGGATTCCTGCCCCGAGAGCTTTGTGCGGCAGTGCCTGGGGGAAGGACGTGCCACACATCCACCGCTCCTCTCTGGCCCCGGGCACGTTCCCCCAGCGCTTGCCCCACATGCCAGAGTACTTCGGATCTGCACCCTCCTCACCTCACAGCGCGTCTCCTAGGGAAAGGAGCTTTGGCCTTGGAAACAGGTGTTCCTTTCACTTAAGTTCAGGTGGCAGCTCTTGTCGTCTGTCACCTGATGACCCTGTGATCCAGGGTCACTTAGTCTCTTGGAGTCCCGTGTTTGTCTTTAAAGTGGAGGTATTAGTAATGCCCGTTTCCCTCCTTCACGAGGCCGTGAGAATCAGTTGGAATGTTTTACTCGAACATATTTTTGCAAGACATTTAATACTTTAAACATTTAATATGCAATATTTAACAAACGTTGGAATGTTTTGCAATAGATATTTAATTTCTAGCCACCTTAGGACATCATCCACCGCCGAGAGAGTGCTCGGCTCTGTGAAGATGGACAGGGCAGGGAGACCTTGCACAGTAGGCGGGCTCCGGGTGGGGCGGCCTGCCTGGGAAGGCACACTCGTCCGGGAGCTGGGGGGCTCTTCCTGTAGCCCACGGGCTGCCGCCCAGGCGCCTCTGTAGCAGGGAGAGGGTTGGAGAGCAGGCAGGACCTCCCTGTCTGTCCCAGAGAACATTCCTGCTTCTGTAGGAATTGGCAGAAGCTTCCTCTGTTCAGAAGAGAGGGTTGGGGCAGCCGGCTTTGTGTCCACCATGCTGGGATGGGCGCATGGGGAGGGTTTGCACCGTGCCTGCCCCGGGCTTTGGAGGAGGGAGAGGCGGGAGAAGCCCGTGGTGGGTCCCTTCCTTCAGGGATACCTCATGCTGGGGCCCTTGTGAGATCTCGCTGGCTGTGACGTCCCAGGCCGGATCCCCTGCTGCACTTGCTAAGTGGTGCACGGCTCCCGTGGCCCTTGGAATCAGGCCGCTAACCGGAGGTTCTTAATTAGAATCTGATTTTGTGTGATTTTCAGTAAGAATTTTAGACATTACACAGTTTGTATTTTAGACTCCGTTTTTCATCAGTTAACATTTGTAGCTTTGAGGCCGGGCGCGGTGGCTCACGCCTGTAATCCTAGCACTCTGGGAGGCTGAGGCGGGAGGATCGCTTGAGGTCAGGAGTTCGAAACCAGCCTGAGCAAGAGCGAGACACCTGTTTCTACTATAAATAGAAAGACATTAATTGGCCAACTAAAAAATATAGAAAAAATATAGAAAAAATCCGGGCATGGTGGTGCACGCCTATAGTCCCAGCTACTCGGGAGGCTGAGGCAGGAGGATCGCTTGAGCCCAGGAGTTGGAGGTTGCTGTGAGCTAGGCTGATGCCACAGCACTCTAGCCCGGGCAACAGAGTGAGACTCTGTCCCAAAAAAGCAAAAAACAAAAACATTTGTAGCTCTGGATATTCTTTCCATTGTCCAGGGGAGCCTGGCGAGCCCACGTGTGCAGTGGCGCCTGCGTTCCCGAGTGCTGCACGCGGGGTCGGGCGAGGGCGGGTGTGGTCGGGCGCTGTCCCTGGCGTAGGGACACTCACACGGGTCAGCACCGTCCGTCCATCCTCTGACGGGACACTAACACGCCTCCCTTCTCTCTCACGCGCCCGCGACGGCCGGCAGCTGGAGATGGAGGACGAGGACACCATCGACGTGTTCCAGCAGCAGACCGGGGGCGCGAGGGGGGCCAGCCGCCCGGTGGCCGTGGCCTCCAGAGGGACCGTCCTCCTCGTGCCGGCCGCCCTTCCTCGCGTTGCCCTCGAGTAGCGACCGCCACCGCCAGCCACAGAGGAGTCCGCGGAGCCTCGAGGGCGTTCACCAAAACGATTTTCCTCTTTGACCTACTGCGAGTGGGACTCAGAACTGTGTCTGTGGGGACGGATCTGCGACTTAACCTGGGCCAATCAGAACCCTTATCTCTGTTCAGGAGCAATGAGTTGCCGGGTTTTGGGGGTTTGTTGATGTTTTCATTTCCTTTCTTTTTTTCCCCCGCCTCCTGTAGCATTTTTGTGCCCCAGATTTGTGGCCTGCATATTCGCTTTTAGTCCGGGGACGGGGACTTGCTCCGGCGTGGCCCGCCCCTCCAGCGCCGGCTCGGATCACCAGGCGCCGGCTGCACTCGGCGTGGGTGTGTCCGGCAGGTGTCCTGGGGCGGTGGGGACGGAAGGCGGAGTGTCACCTGCTATTTGTCGTAGGCACAGGTTACGAAAACGCTAAATACTGCGAATTTGAGCTTTGTCAGCATGCGATGAGGCCGAGGGGAAAATACTGGACTGCTTCTTAAAAAGTAGAAAGTAACAGCCCTCTGGCAACGTGGCCCCATGTGCTCCCCGCTCCTGCGTGTCCCCCTGGGGTCCGAGGCCCGGGCCCCCCGCCCTCTGACCCCCGTCAGTGCCTCACAAGGGCTGGCATGACAAAGATCGACTTTTTCCCTCTTCTTAATAGAGAAGACAGTAATTCCCACATTTCTCATTTGGTGATGGTGTTGTGGCCTTGGGTTTCTCCTAGTATTTGCTTCTGATGAATAATTATGTTCTGCACATAGAAAGGTGAGATTAAGTATTGCTGAATTTTCAGTTACGTTGTCGTGTGAAGAGCTGCTCGCGACCGTGGTCACGGACCCGCGGGAGGAGGACCCCACACCGGCCCCCCCACCGCGGGTCCGCGCCTCGCGGCTTCCCAAACGCATCCCGAACTCGCGCGTTGCTGTGGTGATCAGTCCTGTGAAATTCTGGGGAATCTATGCCAATGAAAAATGTTCCTAGTTCTGCCTGTTCTTCCACAAGGACCCGCTGCCGCTCGGCGGCCACCCTCTGCCTTTTTTATACTCACCTGAACGATGACCCATCTTCATCTCCTGCTTGCTGGAAATCTTGCCGAAAATGTCCTCAGTCCCTCTGTGTTGCTGTGTGGGTTCGGGTGGGGTGTGTGTTAGCTCTGCCGTGTTTATTCACAATTTGTACATTATCTGTCGTCCTTTCCTACTGTACACAGTAAATATAGTTTGGTATTCTGTCTCGGCTCACGCTGAACTCTGCGTCTGGGGGCTGGGGCGCCGTCACGGGGCAGCGTCTGTGCCGACTGTTCGGAAAGGCCATTGGGGAGCTGTGACCTAGAAGACGGTCCCTGGAAGGTTCCTGCTCACCCACGGCCCCCTGCCCCTCCCGCGGGTCACTAGAGCTAGGCCGGGGACTTCCCTGCCGAGGGGGTGGTGGGGGAGGGGGGGAGGGAGGGTGTCCTCTCCCCTCTCAGAGCCCTCCCAGTGCAGGGATCTGCACCCTCCCGGGGAGGGAGGGCCTGCGCTCTTCCTCTGGTGTTTCCTGTGTAGCAGAGGGTGGGGCTGTGAGTCTGATGTCAGTCTGGGGCATCTCCGCTGGTGCTGGGCTGTGAGAGTTTTCCCCTTGCAGCTGACAGCCTGCTGGTTTATCTGCCTTGAAGCTGGAGTGAACTGATTCTAATTTGGCTTTAAGAATTTCCCAGCATACTGCGGTGTGACAAAATCAGGGTTGAAAGTGGGCTTTTGTACTTAGTCTGTCAGTTGAGTGAGCACAGGTTGAAAGATCAAGGGCAGCCTCAGAAACAGCACCACGTGTGGACTAACGCACAGCACAAACGAGGGGCTTGCCAGAGAGCCCGCAAGGGCTAACTTGCTGCGGGGAGCCCCTGCACGTGTCTGAGGAGAGGGCCGCGACCCAGGTGCCTTAGGTTAGAACAGTGGCCAGTTCATGTGGGCTGAAACGGTGCCGCTTGAGCTTCCGAAACTCACGGCACCTGAAGTGGAACAAACACGATATGCTCTGGAGGTTGTCTTTTATCTTAGAAATTTATGCAAATTGTGCATTTGGAATAACAGATCTGTTGGTACTAGTATTTTTTAAAATAATTAAATTACATGAATCTAACTTGCAGAATTTGGGGGTTAAATTGATGCTTCAGGAGGAGCTACGTGCCCTGTCTATCCTGTTTGTTACCTGTGCCTAGGGTTTCAACTGGAACTTTCCCAGTTTTAGCAATGGAAGGGCCGCGCCCCAGGAGCCTCCTTAGTCCCAAACAAACTGGGTTGTCACCTTAGCCGTGCTACACAAGTGCACAGCTGGGGAAGCAGGAGGTTATGAAAGCTGTCCCATGTAACTTAGGTTGAACTGAGATCCCTTTTATACCTTAGAACTTTAGTTACCAAATATAAGACACTAGTTTTATTCTGTGCTGTTGGCCTCCCAGGGTGTGTTGCTTAGGAAAACCACTATAAATATTACACACGTGCTCCTCAGAGCCCTTGGGACCCCAGTACCCAGTGATGCAAGCTGAGAGCTGCCAGATTTAGCCAATGAAAACACACGAGCAGGCGCAGTGGTGTGCCTGCAGCCCCAGCTACTCTGGAGGGTGAGGTGGGACTCCTGGGCTCAAGTTCAAGTCCAGACTGGGCAACAGAGACTGCCCCCCATCTCTTAAAAATATATATATATATACACACACACACACACATATAAATAAAAATACAGGATGCCCAGTTAAACTTGAATTGCAGATGAAGGACTGAATGACAACCGTGAGGAGGAAGAAGTGTGGCAGAGATCCTGGTTTTCTGAAGATGAGGCCATTGTACCAGCCACGTTGAGGTGAGAGAAATTTCCATTATGTTTAAACAACTCATTGTAAGGTTTTACGGCGGCGGCCAAAAGACAAGACACAGAGAAAGAGTGGGGGCCAAACCACGTGGCTTTATCATACACTCGTGGATGAGGTTCTGGGGCCCCAAGAGAGGGGGGCCCCAGGAGTTGCGGCAGTTTGAAGGGGCTGAGGCCTTTTATACCCTTTGGGTGGGGCTAGGGACTTGTGGCGGGAAGAGCTGGGGATTCTCTATTGTGACCTTGGATGGTCGTTGAGAAATAGGAGGGGCTGGAGGTATTTGTGGAATCCAGGTGGACATCTGGGTGTGGTTCCTCTCAGTGGGGCCTGGCAGTTTGTCCTTGGCGGGTCAGGTCACTAAGCGTTTTCTTTTTCCATCTAGGGAGGGGAGGGAGCCCCTGCCACCAGCCTTACACTCATATTTTTGGATTTTTGTCACTTGAGGCTGAAACTAATCCTGGTATGAGCTGTAAACTACATTTCTGAAAATTACTGAAGAACACACAGTGCTCTGCAATGAGTAAGGAAATGTCTGGAAAAGATTGATGCAATTAAGAAAACAGCAAGCATCTGATGGGCTCCGTTCTTTTGAGCATCATAGTATTGGCAATAATGCTTTCATGAGCCACATTTTCCGTAACAGGAAAAGAGGAGCTGTTTTCCTTCAGTAGCAGTGACTGATTTGGGGGTGTGGGGTGCAGTCCCACAGAGGAGAGGGCAGCTCTGGAATGGGGAAGGAAACTTAAGGACCATGTCATTTTTATAAATCACCTGTCATTCGAAAAAAGTGTTGGACTGAAAATTTGAAATTTAGGAAATTTTCCTACAGTATGCATACTTGTGAGGTCTGCATTGTTAGATTTCATTCCGTTGGACAGATACTTAGGGAAGGCACTGAGGCTGCTGCGCCCAGCAACATATCAGAATCAGACAAAGACCCCTGCTGTCGGAATGTTTTCTGGTTAGAGGAGCTAATAAAGTCCCCAAGTTAATAAAGCTCAGGTAATGAAAATAAAAAATGAAAAAGTAAAAATAAAAAAGACAACAATACGGAAAAATTATACAGTGTGCTAGTGGATTCTGTAGCACAGTGTGTGAGTGCTGTGGAGAAAAATGAGAAGCGAGGTGCAGGTGGCCACACTGAAGGAGTGCGCGGAGGGTCCCCGGAGGCAGAGCAAAGGCCTCTGTCCACCCTGCTCTGCTCTGAGTAAAACGGGGAGGTTCGGAATGTTACTGTGACCTGATTCATCTTTTAAATGGGTCATCTGCGATGCTGGAAACATCGCAGAGGGCAGAGGAGGAGGCGACAAATTGAGAGGCCATTGCAACAACCCTGGCAAGAAAGGAGAGGCTTTGTGCACGGTGCATGTGTGTCCTCGCCACGGACGCGCGCAGCACTCGGGGTTGTACCTGCCTCAAGTCAGTAAGGAGCCCAGACCCCGGCCGGCACGGACCCAACACGAACAGGCTCGCTATCCCCAGGGCCCGCTCCATGGCGGGGGGACTGGAGAAGTCGGGGAGCCTCTGGGCGGGCCCAGCGGACGGGGGTCTCCCCGCTGCTAGGCCCCCAGCCGAGAGGGCGACAAGCCTCAGGTGTAGTAAATGCCGTTTATGTGAGCACCTGGGTGCAGGTGGGTGGAGGCCGAGAAGAGCGCCCACGCGAGGAGGGAGCGCGGTGGGCTTTACAGAGGGTTTCGGAAGGGCGCGTGCAACTGGGCCGCAAAGGCTGTAATAAATTATTTTCAAACCACCAACTTTTCCGGGACCCCTGCAGGGACGGGCCTCCGCAGGGGGTCGGGACCCAGTCTGGGGAGGCGAGTTTTCCCGAACGTCCCCTCCCTGCCCGCGCCGCCGCCGGGGTCCGAGCTGGACTCCGACTCCCGGGCCCCGCGGGCCCCACTCCATCCTCCGCACGCTTCCCGGAGCCCACCCGAGCAAACCGAGCACCGCGCTCCGTCCTCGCCCGCGACTAGGTTCTGGAGCCCGAACTCCGCTGAGCCGCACCCCCAGGGAGTGAAAGCGCCACGACCGCCAACTCCGTCACTTTTCCGAGCCAGAAACCCGAGCAGGGGCGTCGGGGCCGTCCCGGGGATCCGGGCTCCGGCGCAGAGCGCAGCCCCCTCCCGCGTGCCGCCCGCCCACGGGCAGCGAGCGGGCACACTCGCCGGGCCGAAGCCTCCGCAAGACCCGGGCCCCGAGGCCTCGGGAGTCGCCGGGACCGCGCCAATCCGGGTCCGGCCCCCGCCCGACCTCAGTTTCGCTCCCATCGCTCGCGCGCACACCGCGGCGACCGCGCATGCGCGCCGCGCCACGCCCCGGAGAGGCTTCTGTGCGCGCGTCGGCGACCCGGAAGCAGTCCCCGGCGTCGGGGCGGGAGCGACGGGCGCGGATGAGGCGAGGCGGCCGGGCGCAGCTGTTGCCGGGCCATGGCGGGGACGGCGCTCAAGAGGCTGATGGCCGAGTACAAACGTGAGTTCGGGAGCCCCGGGCCGCCCTCCCGCGTCGTCGGGGCTCGGGCTCCAAGCCTGGCGCGTCCTGGAGTCCGCCGTGCCCCCCGCGGTGGAGCGGGCCGCCGCCCTGCCTGCCTGTCGGGGTCCGAGCCGCGGCCCCGCCTGCGCGTCCCGGCTCGGGCCCGGCGGGCTCGGTTCCGGCCCGCCCGCGGGAGTCACAATGGGGAGCTCGCTCTGGGCGCTCTCCCTTGGCCGCTGCCTCCTCCTTGACGTGTAAACTGTAAAGAGAAACCCGGAAGGAAAAAGGACGCTAGCACCATGTTAGTTTAGAATGCTTAAAACAGTTAAATTAAATCTTTGAGGTTTTAGTTTTGTTTTTTGGGGGGTGTTTTCTTGACTCCTTTGGTCCTAGAGGACTCCGAATGGTAGCCCGCGGACTTGCAGTGAGAGGCTGGGGAGGAAAGCCTGACTCGCCTACGGGGAAGTTTCGGCGAGAGGGGAGTGTTTGCATTAAAAGCGGAAACGCTCATTATGATCAGATTGAGGCGAAAGGTCAGATTTTTTTTGCTTTGTCTCTAATAAGGGAACAGGGTTTTTGAGCAGTGCCAACTGTCACTTTTCCTAAGTAGTGTTCAGAAAGCCCCGTTAGTGTTTTCCTAGCCTGTAAATGTTTCTGTTATCTGGGGAAAGCAAAGGGAAAAATGAAAAGCTAGGAACACTTAGCACCTATCCTTTTACAACGCATTCTCACTTTGAAGAGTTGCTGTGAGAGGTTTTGGGATGCCATTGTGTTTGAAAGTGCTGGAAACCTGCTTTGCTGGTGGAGACAAGATGGTAACCTGGTTGTGGTTAAGAGCGGGGTCCTGGAGTGGAAGACCTGTCCTCAGACGGTGCCTCTGCTCATTAACTCTTTGACCGTTGGCCTCCTCTCTTAACCT